GAAGCGAGGCCTTATAAGCCTTATAAAGGTAAGTTGGATGCAAAGACTGCTAACTGTTATTTTACTGGATACGCTGAATGCTCTTACGAGTATAAGTTTTACAATCCTATCACTAGAACTATTTTTTAAACGGGAAATGCAAGATTCCATGAGGATGTAGAGTTTAGAGGGTAAGGAAACATAATGAGTGTTGTCTTTGGTGAAGAAACTGTTTCTCACAATGATCAAGTCTTTGTACCTATCTTTGTTCTAGAAACAAATCCTGAAATAAACAATGGTGTTATTCCTAACATCCTTCATGAACAAGACAATATTGAGTTTCTTCCAAAAGCACCACCTATAGTTCAAACTCAACAACCTCAAAAGCTACCATTAAGAAGATCCACTAGAGAGAGGAAGAGCGCAATTTCAGATTATTATGGTGTATTTTTTCAGGAACGTGAGGATGGCATTGGTTTGACTGAGGAAGATCCTATCAACTTTAGTCAAGCTATGCAAAGTCCAAAATATCTTAAGTGTGTTGATTCCATGAAGGATGAGATGAAGTCGATGGCTGACAATGATGTTTGGGATCTCGTTAAATTACCCGAAGGAATGAAACCCATTGGTTGTAAATGGATATTTAATACCAAAAGGGTAATATTGAGAGATATAAAGCTCGTCTTGTCGCAAAAGGCTTTACTCAAAAGGAAGGAATTGATTATAAAGAGACTTTCTCTCTAGTTTCTTGGAGGACTCTCTTAGGACTGTGATGGAATTGGTAGCTTATTTTGATTTAGAATTGCATCAGATGGATGTAAAGATTGCGTTTCTAAATGGAAACATTGAAGAGACAATATATAAGGTGCAACCAGAAAACTTTGTGTCAGGAGACCCAGAGTCTATGGCTTGCAAACTCAAGAAATCCATCTATGGCCTTAAACAGGATTCATGTCAATGGTATTACAAATTTCATTAAGTAATATCCTCATTTAGTTTTAAGGCTAATCCGGTTGATAACTGTGTATACCAAAAGTTCAGTGGGAGTAAATTCATTTTCTTGGTACTATATGTTAATGATATCCTTTTGGAAAACAACAATATAGGCTTATTACATGAAACCAAGAGATTTCTCACAAATAAATTTAAGATGAAAGATCTTGGGGACACCTCCTTTGTCTTAGGAATTCAAATACTTAGAGACCGTTCTCGAGGTATTTTAGGATTGTCACAAAGGAGCTATATTGATACAGTTCTGGATAGATTCTCCATGAAAGATAATAAACCAGGAGACATACCTGTTGCTAAAGGAGACAAGTTTTATCTCAAACAGTTCCCCACTACAGATCTTGAAAAACAAGAGATGTATAAGGTTTCATATGCTTCAGCGGTGGGAAGTCTTATGTATGCTCAAGTTTGCACTCGTCTCTACTTAACATATATTGTAGGAGTTCTTGGTAGATATCTAGGTAACCCTGGTATGCAGAACTGGATAACAGTAAATTGTGTAATGCGCTACTTGAAGAGAACAAGAGACTTCGTGCCCACTTATCGAAATTCAAATAACTTGGAGATCATTGGGTATTCTCACTCAGATTTTGCTGGATGCTCAGATAACAGACGTTCCACATCTGGTTAAATTTATCTCTTGGCTGGAGGATCCGTCTCCTGGAAGTCTTCCAAACACTTTAGTGGCTCCTTTCACCATGGCAGCAGAGTTTGTGGTTTGCTTTGAGGCATCAAATCATGCAATTTGGCTGCGGAACTTTGTCACAAGCCTACACATCATTGGGAGAATTGAAAGGCCCTTGAAGATTTATTGTGACAATAGTGTAGCTGTGCTTTACTCCAACAATAATATGAGTTCTACAAACTCTAAATTTATTGATATCAAGTATCTTGTTGTGAAAGAAAGAGTTCAGGAGAAACAAATTTTGATAGAACATATAGGGACAAACTTAATGCTAGCTGATCCACTAACAAAAGGTTTAGCACCTAAGATTTTTTATGGGCATGTTGCTCATATGGGTCTTGGTTTTGAGATTGCGTTATATTAGTGGGAGTTTTTTCCTTAACTTTTATATGTTCTATGTTTTGCTTTTATTTTGGTACAAACATTATGTTATGTTTAATTTTCTGCAGCAATAAAACTTATGAGGTATTATTGTTATAACAATATCGAGTTTTCTTTGTTATGTGCAAATATTCTAACTTTGAATTGAACCTAAGGAACTTCAGTTTGATCTCACTAAAGACTTCAGTAGTACCAGTTGGAAATATGCATGACTTAGAGATCACATTGCATGAAATTTCCATGTCACTCATCCATATCAATCTATGTCATCAAGCATGTTGATGTGGTGGTCATCGAGGTTCCGTCACGTTATAGGTTAGTGATGACAGCCGCGATGATCCCATTATTGATGCATGAGGTGGACCAGATTGTAAAGTTGAAATCTAAAGAAAAATAACATTCGGATGCGCGCCTAAAGAATTATGATATAATCATTAAGATATATTGGCCAAGTGGGAGATTGTTGAAATATTTTAATAATACAATAATTTCTTAATATTTCAATAATTATGTGGCCAAATATATTTATTTATTATATTAGTTATTTTATCAATTAAGTGTCTTTAAATAATTAAGTGATCAAATAATGTTAAAAACAACTATTTAGATTTTATTTATGAATTATTTAATTAATTAGTTAATTAAATTATTGAGTATGGATTCAAATATGAGTGGATGTCAGGATGACCTATTTGGGAATAATGAGAACCCTAATTGGCCATCACACTATATATAGGCTATCATCCCCAATATATCGTACTTACAACGAGCGAATTACCCCTTCTCCCCTTCTGAAGAGAATTCGAGGCATAAGGAGTACCGGTTGAGGAAGAACCACAAAAGTCAATAACTTCTGGGTTTAGGATTACCGTCAAAGGCATTTTTCTCAATGGATCCAGGTATTCCTAAAATCAATTTATCGATCCTATGATTTTATACGTATGTTTGTATGACCAATTTTGATTCCGCATAAAGTATATGTCATAGTATGGTAAGCATGTATATTGAATTGATTTAATTTCAATAAGATTTTCTTATTATGATAGATTTCTTAGGCCGACTATCTTCATCTATTGGAGATTTATCAAGAGATTGTTGAGGTCTGTCATTTTTTAATGTGTAACTAGTGGTATGACATGTGATTATTCACGAGTTTATGGTGCTTATGAGTGTCTTTTTTAAGGAGATCAAAGAGAGTGATATCTTAAATGGTGGTGGCCTCATCTAGAATGACCTTTTGAAAATTTATGTGTTGTATGAGAAAACATACTCATAGAAGATAATATTTCCAGATATAAATATGCTTCTAGAGCTTCAATCAAAGGGGAAAAAAACCCTTTTGTGCTTGTTTTATATCTAAGAAAAAGACATGTTTTATCTCTAGGATCAAGATTTGATTTTACCGCTCTAATTTAAGCAACAAAAGACCTTATGGTCCTAAAAAGTAGGAGGATATTTATATAATTTCTCAAGCATTTTGAAAGTTTAAATTGGAATATTAAAGCTCTAGTTATATCTAAGTATCTATGTTTTCTTTGAACAATGGAATTTTGTTCAAGTGTCTCAAAACATGAGGTTTGGCGGAGAATATCGAATGAGAGATAGAAAGAAATGGGAATTAAACTCCATTGCCACTTCTAACACTTTTGATTTTAATAGAAAGTTGGGTGATACATGGTTATAAAAGGTTTGAACAAGATGTCTAGTGTCAAACTTATGTATCATGGGGAAGGTCCAAACGAATCTAGTATGATCATCAATAATACTTAAGAAATAAGTGAAACCATATATAGATATAGTATTGATAGGCCCCAAATATCCATTTGAGCAAGATCAAAAGCATGCATAATAATAGTATTACCATGAGGAAAAAGTAATTTAGGTTGTTTATGTTGGAGGAGTTTATCACTAGGGAGCATTTAACATTGCGTCAAGAGTAACACAAGTAAGAGACACACCACATATTCACTCAAAACTTTTAGGTAATAGGTATATGGATTCTCCCACTTATAAATGTTCAATTATCCACATTTATAATCAACGTGGGATCCAACTAACACTTGATTTTATTATTCTCAACACTCCCTCTCAAATATGAGTCCACAATACTCCCCCTCAAGTGGAATCTCTTTTGTCCACATACACTTGTACCGCCGTTGACACCTATTACTAGACACCTCTTACTAGGCATTTCGATACACCTCTTCATGGGAATTACGATTTCAACAAAACACTTCTTCATGGGAATTTCGATATAAGTAAGTCAGTGATCCCGTTACGAACCAAAGGTTCATGATACCATTTTAAAACATGAGGAGGAACATCAATATTGGACCAAGAGGAACACAAATGAGAGAAACACTACATATGACATGTCTCTTACTTGTGTTGCTATTGACCCAATATTAAATTCTCCTTAGTAATAAACTTTTTCAACAAATAGCATCTTGAGTCTTTAGTTCATAAAGAAACCAACTTACTTATATCGAAATTATATCGAAATGTTCAAAAAAAAAAAAAGTATCGAAATTTTATACAAAAGAAAATAATCGTATATCAAAAATTTATTAATATGAATGTAAGAAAATAGTTTACACGTAGTATGGGAAACATGTAAAGAGGGGTGGTCTAACCTATAATTTCATACATCAAAATGAATGCTGTGAACAATACCAATGTTGCTAAATCATATTTTATCATTACTAGAAAAACCGTGAGCTATATCATGATTGAGTATGTAGAGACTATTGACGTGGTCCACATTCTCAATCATCTTATTGAAAGTCAAATCCTGAATTATGCATGAATTTTGAGAGAACATCTCATTGCAATTTCATATTAGTGGTTAACATAGAGATTGAGAGTAGATTAAAGTTAAATTGAGGTAAAACAATACATATATAAATATATTAGTGTTAATATCGTGTCTGGTAGCTGTGATTGTGGTTCATAGTACACGAGTCTCTTTGCGATGCCTTTTCGCTGTCGCATGTGTATCTTTTTCAGCTTGATATTCTAATAAGCTCATCATATCTTCTTCCATCGCTTCATTTTCTTCTTCGTCTTCTTCATCAACCACATTCTCTATTTCCTCGGGTTCTTCCTCTTCCACTCGATCTCGATCTACAACATCATTACCCAAACCAATGTTTTCTTCCATTACAATATCATTTTTTCTCTTTTTCACACCCCCCATCAACTCATACGGACTTTTCATCCAAAATTGAAACCCTTTCCTTCCAAGTACTTTGGTCTCATCTGAGTGCTTGAGTTGGTATAACAACCAAATGGCAGCAGCTATTAAAGTAAATATTTTAAGACCTTGTTTTACCTTGAAGCCATTTGTCCTCATGTTTCTGTTTGGTGATTGCTTCAACATCTTGCACTCATAAATTTCTCTTGCAAACTAAAAAAACAATAAACCACTAAGCATTCAACATAACATAACATGCATATAAGATATTGTTTCATTTGTGTATATTTCTAAAATATGTATAAGATGTAGAAAAAATAAAAAATAAATAAAAAGATAAGATAGATATATACAGTGTTATAGATATATACAACCTAAAAATCTGAAATGAGAATGAGAAAATAGAAGTAAAAGTGCAACTTACAACTGCAGTGTGTATAGGTTAGATTCTGTATTGAGTGGAGCAAAGCAAAGCCAAAGATGATAATCTGAGTGAAAGTGAAAGAAGATAGATGGTGAAGACTCGTGAACGACATGGATGTCACGGGCCAGCCATGTTTATCTGATCCTATATATAGATATTATTAAATCTTATTTTTTTAATTCTTATAGGATCTTGTTATATGTATGATTTTTTTATAAATAAGATTTTAAAAAATCAGATTAAAATTTTAATCGATTAAACACTCATTTAAAAATTTAATTGGTTCAACTAGTTAAATCAACGATGTTGGAACTGTTTACTAAATTAATAAATAAATAAAATAATAATATAAAAGGTTCAATGTACTTTAGGATTATAGTTTCTAAAATTTATTATGCTTATGGTCCATAATGCTTGTTTTTCTAATTTTGTTAATGTTATGGACCCAAATGATTATGCGATCATTTAATTACTAAGTTATGGTCCCAATATCTTGTGATACTTGGTTCCTTATTAAATTCTATCTTGTTTTATGTAGGCCAACAGAAAACTTAGTTAGACTTAGAATTTACTAGAGAGGTCAGCTGGTGTATCATCTTGTGAAAAGGTATGTTCATGGAATAGTTTCTAAAATAGATTGACAATGGATTATGGACTTAATGTCCTATATGAAAATTAGGTATGATAAAAAAAAGTGAGGGCATAATAATATAAGAAGTCTATATGTACAGTACATGAGAAGAGTGATGTTAATGAGGAATCTGGTCCTGATTATGACATGAGTATAAAGGAAGACGAGGATGATATTATTCATGTTTTTGATTTTTCTAATGATGTTGATGTAGGTTGGACCAAAATTCTTCCCAATGAAGCAATAAAACAACCCAACATAACTATATTTGATATTGAGAGTTGTGATTCAAATGAGTTGTATACTCTATTAGAAAGTGATGTTGAAGATTAGATGAAGATGTAACAAACCTTAAAGAATGTACAAATTTGATATTCGAATGATGTTTAGATATAAGTTGCAAAGTAAATATGCTATCAAAGAATATGTAATAGAAAATAAGAGTAATGTTATCATAAAAAATGACAAAAAGAGAATGGTTGTCAAATGTATGGAAGGTTGTCCCTTTTATGTAAGGTTCAAAATGAGGACTACAAATAAATTTTGACAACTTGTTAGCTTTAGTAATAAACATATTTGTCATAGAAAACTAAGAACAAACATGCAAAATCTGATTTTAATTGTTTAACTTTGAAATTTGTGACTACACTAAGATATAATCTTGATATGAAATCTAAAGGGTTGATTACTGAAGTCATTTATAAGTGAGGCGTGATGTTTTCAAATGACCGAGCTTACAGAGCTAAGAGAAGAGTAATTTAGCTGATTTAAGATGTTGATCGTTGTGAGTGCTATCTACAAATTCAATAGGATTTTGAATGATGTCAAACAAGATAGTATATCGTAGCGTTTTTGTATATTGGATGGTGTCAACCTAAATTTCGATGTGAATTTATCTTTTTAGCCTTAGGATGTATAAAAATAGTCTTTGAACAAGTTTGATAGGTCTTAGGCATGTCATACACATCAAAAACCAAGTTTTGTGGGTCAACATACCAGCACAGGCCGACCTATACGAGGTCAGGTTGACCTATGGAAGCCTTGGCGAAAACAAACAGAAGAGTCGCTAACGAACGTTATTTATCCCAAGAGAGGGAAATGAAATGATCAAAGAAAACCTAAAAGAAAGGAGAAGACAAGGTCATCGCAACCAAATCTTGAGTTCGGGAGTCGGTTACGCAAGAGGAAGGTATGAGCACCCCTCACGTCCGTTGTACTCAACGGAATCCACACTTGTTGTCTAATAAAAGGGCGTGTTTATCTAAAAGCTACTTCTAAACAGGGACGAGAACAAAAAAAAAGAAAGAGACTCGATAGGACATCGCCGCCCTATGCCTACATATTCTCTCGTGCAATGGAAAAGTCAGAGTCAGCGTAGTTCGAGAAACTACAGGTGATAGGTGAAGGTTGCTCGTCAAGACATCGTCGTCTTGTGCCTACGTATCCTCATCTGGTATGAGAAATCAGAGCAAACGTAGTTCGGGAAAAGAGGAAACCACAGGTTGGTTAAGTGTTTTTTATGAGCGACGTTAAGTTCCCATTCCAGCAGTTAGGGTCGATGCATGTTTGCGATAGAACGGAAAAGTAACGTACTCTTTTTGAAAATGAGTTTGGAACACAAATCCCGAAGGATAAAAGGTTTGAATTTTTTTGTGAGTTTTAGTCAAGTGAATTAGTTTGCTTTGTGATTCACATTGCACTAAAGACTATGATATAGGAACGAATGCGTCTCATATCGACCCAGACGGTACGTACACTAAATACTCTAGACAAGCGAGAGGAGACCCCTCACTCATCATTTCCCTTATGCTTAAGGCTCAAGGCGTACAACGGTCATCGTCTTTATTAGATGAGTTAGAATTTTTTTGAGATGAGAAGAGAGACGCACAAAAGGTCTAAGGGAAACTCGGCCCTAAAGTTGTCATGCAAAGTGGTCCTAAGGTCGGTATGCAAAAGGAGATTCTATCCTAATGTTAGCATGCAAAAGATGGACCTATGGTCGAGGTTAAAAGGAACTAGCCTACTTGTTATCATGCAAGGATTGCACTCCGAGTGTCTATCCTACTCCAAATTTTATCGGAAATTAGATTGTAATAAGAATCATAAGGGAACATGCAAAGGCAAGACAAAAATAAGAAACAAGGTAAAAACAGCAGCTACAATAGCGCCTCCTGCATAAAACAACAATAAAATTCAGCAAGGCAGCACAACAACATTTAACATCTACTAATTCAGCACAAAAGCAGGTGTAAAAGGCAGGCAGCAAGCATATGTGAATGCGATCAAACAAAAATAAACACCAATCGTGAACCATCATCATGCAAGGATGAACATGCATCGATAATCAAACACAAATGATCAACAACATTGCATCAATAAGAAATCAACAAGATCATCATGCTTTTCAATTCAAACCGACAAATAAACGATCAAACAAACATAATCGGAAGAAAATGCAAACATGCATCACAAATCCAACAAGATAATATTCATCAATGATAATCAATTAACATGATGCAAGCAATCAAAGCATATGATCATCACATCAATCAAGCAACATGAACATGTTAAGCATCCAAACGGAAACCGGGAGTTACGTGTCAAAGAATCCAAATCAAACATTCAAGAATGGTGAAATAGGTAAAAAAAAAAAAAAAAAACAATCCACATAAATGCATCATATCAATCCATGAAGGTTAGGGGTGAAAATGAGCCCAAACAAGCAAGAAAATGCAAGAAAAAGGCAAATCGTCCCAGTGGTAATTGATTACCAGGATCAGGTGATCGATTACCCCTTTGAAAAATGTCCAGAAACTTGAAAATTAGGCAGGGTAATCAATTACCACATTCAGGTAACTAATTACCACTGTGACAGAGGCCAAAAATCAAATTCCAAAATCACTTTTCAGCAGCAAATAACTTATCCAATCATCCACATGAACAAGTAATCAACTATGCATGAATTTAACACCAAAAACCAGTGATCAAACATCAATTAAACTTGATCAAACATTGAGATCATAAATCACAAAGATCAAATCCAAATAAATGGATCAAAATGCAGAAAAAACCATGGATCCATATTGTGATTATTCAAATAAGCTCAAAATAGAATTGGATCTAGAATTAACCAACCTTCAAAGCTGAAATTTGCTTTGGTAAGTGTTGATTCACTGCAAATTAATAGATCCAAGCTAGAAACCCAGAGAATCTTCAAGATCCAAGAGATTCCTTATAATAGAAGTGAATAACAAGAAAAATAAATCCAAAATTGATCCAAGAATCACTTCAAATCTTGCTTCCAAAATCAGATCCAAATCCAAACGAAAATTAAGTGATGAATTGAAGATAATGGAGATGAATGAAGGAGGTTTAGATCTAGAATTCAAGGATTCCAATGAAGAATCAATGAACTCAAGTGAAAAAAGTTGAGAGCAAATGCTTAAGAATGAGTGTGAAATCTGAAAATGAAGGTAATTTTCTTAAGGTTTGGAGCAAATTCACTTAAATAAGCTCTTGGTTAAGAGCCAAATGTAGTTTGAAGTATGGTTTAATGTTTGGAATGGAAATTAGGAGTGGAATTAGGAATGAAGTGTTTAAAATTTGGAGGGAAATGGTGAAAATGAATCAATTCTAGATCCTTCCAATGATGCACATGTGAAATCAAGGGTTGAAAATGATTGGAAATTCTGCAGTGGTGAAAATTCAAATACTTTTGCAAACTACGCCGGAGGTAATCGATTACCCATATGTGGTAACCAATTACCACATTCAAAAATTGCCAAATTTGGCGCCATGTGGAGAGAAACTTGCGTAATCATCTGTTGCCACCTGTTTTGAGCTCTGTTAAGCCTATGAAACTTACCATTGGATATTATAACTATGAGAATGCCTGATATATCCTGTGACCTGTCCCCTGAGCTGAAAATAACCTGCTGAATAAAATAAAACTGACCGCTCGAATGCTGGGCAAAATAAATGTCAGAGCCTCTGATGCTCTATGTTTAGAATCTTGCAATAAAAGAGAGCTCTGAGCCATAGAAACACCTTGATCCCATGTCTCGAGAATCAATGTTATGATATGCAGAAATGCAAAATGCAGAGAAACATAAGTCAATAAATAAGAAAAAT